TTTAAACAGGTTTGGGTTTTTGATTGGTCTGTTTGAGAAAGCAGCGTCAGGAGAGATGTAGAACACAAAGCTGGGGGCTCGGCAGAAAATTGTTTTTGAGTCGGAGCAGATTGAAAACATTCACTTTCATCTCATAATACAGGGTTTTTGTCGATACCTCATTTTCCTTCCGCTGTTCTTTTAAAATACACCGTTTGTGGATGTTCGTTTAGCGAAAGTCAACCTTGGTTTGTGTCTGCTGGATATTACGATCATTTAGTGTTCAAGTTTATGTAACAAATATTGAAGAACTAAAATTAATCAAATACACTTTTTTGTTTTCATATACCCATACGTCTATGTTCACTCAAAGGTATGTAGGAGGATTTTCTACATCCGGGTGGATCATCAAGATTATTGGTCCTCCCACTTGTCAATCATTCTGTTGATGCGTCTCGTCAAATAAGATCATGGAGTTTTGTTGTGGAGAGGGCAGTTCTTTCCTAACATTTGGGGAAATCCTCCTTTAAATATTGTTAAAACATTGATTTTTTTTATTTTTTATTAACCAGGCAAATTCCATTCTGATTATAGAGATTAAATGTTAAATAAAACCCTAACCCTAAATATTTAAATGGATAAATGGATATTAATATAAAAACTAAAAGAACAGATTCCATTTCATAGATCAACCAGGTGACACCCAGACGTCTGACAAATACTGCCTTGTTTGCGGAGGTTACCTGAAAGACTAACATTTTCTTTGTCAACACTTTCGAGATTGTCCGACTTGGCGCCCGGTTTGCTTTGGCGCCGTGGCAAATTGCCTCACCTCGGATTGCCTCGGCACCCCGCCTTCTGCGCACTTCATTGTTCACATTTTGACAAAGTCGCACCACGCGTCCTTGGGGTAATGTCATTTTACATCACAACACGGCCGTCTGAGTGATGTATAGCTTTTCTAGCCTGACACTGAGCCGAACCATGACTCAAGAGGGGAGAACAGCCATCCATCAATCCCCTGCACCATCGTGGTATGCAAACATCTATGGACTTAAACGGAATACATGCATACATTAACACCAGTACGCTTGGGTGTTTTGGTTAGTTTCTTGGAATGTCATTCTTATCTCCAAGAATTGCCCTTCAGAGGAAGAGCCATCTGGACAGACGGCTTTTGAGGTTTTTCCATTACCACCATTACAATACAATGTCCTACAGACAGTGGTTCAAGTCCTGTTTTTACTTAACTGATGGTGATTCAGCCTTCAGAGGGTATTTTGAAGACACTATAGAATTTGAAGGCAGCAAGAGTGTAAAACAGGGTTATTTGAACTCGCCACTCAAAGGGCTGCAAGGGTTTGTTCCAACCACAGCCTCTCTATAAAGATGGGGCTGCACAGAGATTCCATGAATGTGATTTGTTCTATGAAGCTTAATTTAATGATTCAGTTTTACTTGATTTGAACTTGATACTAGCAGGATTTTTTGATTTGCATTTCCGGCTTGTAACTTTGAAACTACAAATTTTCTGTGCTCATTCCCTCACTGCCTGTACTAAACTGAACATGTTTCTCTTTTCTTCTTTTTTCAACAGTTCCCAATTCGGCAATTTCTTTCCCAGTCTGAGCAGGTACTTGTTATGTGCAAAGTGAAAGACCTGTGTTACAATAGAGACGCTTCCAGAAGAGTTTCTTTCTGATGGATCACTGAAAGAATTAAACTGGTATTGGTAGAGAACAAAGATTAATATTTTCTCATCATGTAGTTATAGACCAGACTGGTTGGAAGGCATCAATCTTTGGCATATGTGAATATCTTAAAAATATATATATGACTGTTTTTGGTAAGTGTGAAAACCCGTATCGCATTAACCCAAAGAGGATCTACCGTTGGATACTAAACGGTTAAGTTATATATCAATACTTGGCAATAGCAATTTAAATTCAATTATAGCTCAGACTATGTTGTATACTTCTGTCTTTTTGCACAATCTGAGTGATTCCATCTATGCCAGAAGTCTTCAACCTTTTTCATTCAGAGAGCTACTTTTATACAACAGAAAGAGCTACTCCTTTTTGCAGTCGTAATAAAAATCGATGTAATAATTACGACAATACATGAAGAACACATGGAAATATTCCATAACACTGTACTAATACATACTAATACTTAGAATAGACATGTAATGGCTCAAAATCTGTTCATTCAAGATCATTTGTTTTTTCCTAAATCCTTTGGCGAGCTACCTGAAAGGGGCTGGCGAGCTACTGGTAGCTCCCGAGCCACAGGTTGGAGACCTCTGATCTATGCCAAATGTGCATGTACATTTCTCCATTGTGAGATCAATAAAGTTTATCTTATTTCAGCTACCTCCATTGAACCCATTGAACTCATGAGATGTATTGCTCTGTTATCGCTTCTACCAATTTGTAAAGTGCATACATTCATCAGAAAACAATGATCGACCACAATCTTAAAGTTGTGTAATTAATTAGTTTCAACACTAACACGTCATAATGCAGTGCCTCATTACTCACTAATGTGTTTGGCTGAAGATGAGACACTCTCTTTGCGACAAAAGTGTGGTTGTTGCGTTTCCTCAGGCCGCCACACCTGGGAATATCTCTGCGAACCCATTCAGAACGCTTTCTTCCTCTTTGCTTAAAAATTACTGCCAACGTACCCTTGAGCAAACCAATTAACCAACAACTGCTCCTGTGAAGAGGCTTTGGGGAAACACGAACAAAGAAAGATGGAAATTTGAAGGAAGGAAAAAGTACTAGAGGCGACTGGAGGCCTGGTCCATCTGCTCGAACGGGGACGGAGATGGAGCCGTTTGCCGATTGGAATGTGAGAGCCGGAGCCGTTTAGAACGTGTTTTATCATTCACAAGAGCGGAGTGCACAAACCTAAGATCTGTTAAGTCGTATTATCACAACAAAGCCTACTTACTGCTCAGATAAGAGTATCCCGTTCAAAGGAGCTTTCAAGTAATGCTCTTTTCATGTATTTGCATTCTCTAGCCACGTTTCAAAAGCCTGGATGGGAAACTTGCAGAGACAATGACATTACACTATATTTGTCATCTTGATCATCACAATCATGTGTGCTATGCAATTATCATTCCATCCACCTCTTTCAAATGTATTTAAGTGTATTCTCATTGATAGTACAATGCAAATCATCCTTCAAGTGTAGGATGTGTTGAACAGCTTAATGCAGGGGCTACAAAGGTGGGGGCAGGAGACAATACAATATGTTCAGACAGTTTTGATGCTTACAATTATTACTTCCTTACATGATATTTAATTATGGAGGTCATGAGTTTATTTCACACATATGTTGGGGTTCTGGACTGAGTAGTTTGAGAACCCTAGGCTTAATTTATTGACTTGAATGTATGTATTGGGGAGTCTGTTTTTAACATTTACAAAATAAATCTTTGAATATTGGAAACATGGGTAAACAGGGCCCTCCAAATATTTCCTAAAAGCATTTGTGATTTGGCGGACAGCACCTGTGCTTTAAGAGTTGGCTTTAATCCCTCGCCACTGTGATGGGAGAATGCTCCAATAACAAGTCCAAAAACATTCCTGTCTGCACATTTGGTCATCGGCCAATGTAAAGACTGCATGGACCACTTTGAACCTTGGGCCAATGTGAAGACTGCATGGACCACTTTGAACCTTGGGCCAATGTAAAGACTGCATGGACTACTTTGAACCTTGGGCCAATGTAAAGACTGCATGGACTACTTTGAACCTTGGGCCAATGTAAAGACTGCATGGACTACTTTGAACCTTGGGCCAACGTGCAACATCTTGTTGGATTAGTTTATTTATCTCTTACCCACTATTCCCTTTGCATGTGTGAGTATGTACACCTCTTTTACATACAACCATCAAACACCATCATTTGGCCATAAATGAAAATGCTCACTATAACATACTTTCCTACAAGCACAGCACTGAGCTTTGATATATATATTTTTTTAAACTATCGTCAACTCAAAAAATGTCAACAGACGTTTCGGACTCACCATTTCCTCTGTGTTCTGTTCCACCCATATACTGTAAATATTAGCGTATTCCCGCCTATCTCCGCCATTGAAACTAATGTGTCACCACTTCTGTGGACTTTTAGAAAATGCGGCTAAACTAGGCTGGTCCAAAAAAAAAGACTCCCCTCAGCATTGACAGCATCTGGAAGGTAGCAATGGGCCAAGAGCCGAATTTTGGACCATCCTGTAAAGCCCTTATTGAGAGGAAAGACGGCGGCATACAAAAGCATTGGGTAATTCTCTTTCCGGGTACACCCCCACCGGCTAGGAGTGAGATTAGAAGCATGTCAGCGCATGGACCTTTTTGAGCTGGGACCCGCCCGCACTACAGAGGGGCTGGTGCTATGTGGACTGGATGCAGTTCTGACTGCCACGCCCTCGACCCAGAAATGGATTAAGGGGAAGAAAATGGATGGATGAATGGACCCGCCCCCACTGGTTCTATCTCTGCTTCCCTGACCACCCCATCCATCTAGTAAGTAAGTAAGTAAGTGTTTATTTATATACCGCCTTTTCACTGCAGATCTGAGTCTCAAAGCGGTTTACAATTGTTAATTATGGGCATTTGTCTCTCACTCCACACAGAGATGGGAGCGGGGTCGCCAGTACAGGAGGCACATGACAGAACTATTGGACATATTTTTAGTGGTAGGGGAAACCGGAGTACCCGGAGGAAACCTACGCAGACACGGGGAGAACATGCAAACTCCACTCAGAAAGGCCCTGGTCCGACCGGGATTCGAACCCAGGACCTTCTTGCTGAGAGGCAAGAGTGCTATCCACTCAGCCACCGTGCCGCCCAATCTATCTATCTATATCCTCAAAGACGCACAGGATGTTTCAAAATTAATCATGGAACATTAAACTATTAACAAAGACAACTAAATTAAATCTGTAGAAAATAGTCAATACTGAAACCAAAAGGAAAAAGAGAAGAAATTGCAAAGGCATTACACACCTTTCTAAGCCGTAGAATCCCCTCTTGCGACTGTCCGTCTGTGGCGATCTCGAATAGTCCCAGACCGTCCCCTTCTATGATATTGTAGGTGGACTTAGCGTTTTCTCCGATGTCTCTGTCGTTGGCTTTCACTTTGCCTCCCATCTTCCCCAGCGGCAGGTCTTCAGGAATCACAAACTCATACAAACCTGCAAAAACAATCACTCTTACTCTACCCGCCGCACTTCTTAAATAACGCGTTTGATGACTGTGAAATAACATTTATCTCTGCAAATGAGAACAAATCGAGTTTCATTTATGGGCTAATGGGTTTGTATTTTTCAATCAATTTTCACAGAATTGTCTTATACACTCTGAACACTTGGGTACAATTCTATAACTGCATGTTGTCAACGTAGAAACAATTTTTTTCTCTCCACAATTTTGGTTCTCTCTTTTCTACTTTTCTCTCTGAGGCAGTTTTGAGGGGAACTATAGTTGGATGTATTATATTTAATACTTACTAGAAGGGCTTTAACATAATTAAAAACACATTATATATTTATTGAAAGAGCCTATACAACAGTGTGAATGGTCCAGAGCACTGGTATCAAAGTCAAGGCCCGAGGGCTAGATCCGGCCCGCAAATGAACTATCTTGGCCCCCAGAATGATATTTGATTAGTATTAGAACCGGCTGCACAGAGACATGAGAAAATATTGGATTATTTATTTAATGTTTAGGACATTGGTTTTTCTTTGATCAAAAAATATTGGATTCATCATTTAATCATTAAATGATCACCATGAGACAGAGCCTTCAGCCACTCTGCCCCCGGCTCTGGAACTCTCTCCCCCCTGACCTCCCTACCATCCACTCTCTTCCACTCTTCAAATCCAGACTCAAAACCATCTGTTCAGACTGTCCTACCCCATGGTCCTACCCCATGGTCCTACCCCATGGTCCTACCCCATGGTCCTACCCCATGGTCCTACCCCATGGTCCTACCCCATGGTCCTACCCCATGGTCCAACCCCATGGTCCTACCCCATGGTCCTACCCCATGGTCCTACCTCATGGTCCTACCTCATGGTCCTACCTCATGGTCCTACCTCATGGTCCTACCCCATGGTCCTACCCCATGGTCCTACATCATGGTCCTACCCCATGGTCCTACCCCATGGTCCTACCCCACCTAACACTCACACCACACACACACACACCTGACACACACACTCACCTAACACACACACACACCTAACACACCCACACACACACCTAACACCACAACACACACCTGACACACACACACACACCTAACACACACACACACCTAACACACACGCACACCTAACACACACGCACACCTAACACACACACACACACACACACCTAACACACACACACACACACCTAACACACACGCACACACACACACCTAACACACACACACACCTAACACACACACAAACATACACACCTAACACACCCACACACACCTAACACACACACAAACGTACAAACCTAACACACACACCTAACACACACAAACATACACACCTAACACACACACACACACACACTAACACACACACCTGACACACACACACACCTAACACACACACACACACCTAACACATGCGCACACCTAACACACACACACACCTAACACACACACACACACCTAACAGACACGCACACACACACCTAACACACACCCACACACCTAACACACACACACACCTAACAGACACGCACACACACACCTAACACACACCCACACACCTAACACACACACGCACACCTAACACACACACACACCTAACACACACACACACACACACCTAACACACACGCACACACACCTAACACACACACACACCTAACACACCCACACACACACACACACCTAACACACACGCACACCTAACACACACACACACCTAACACACACACACCCTCCATCCCATAATGCACTGTTATTTTATTCTGTTGCTCCTGTTTTTAATGTTTTTATTATGTCCTGTACAGTGTCCTTGGGTGTTTTGAAAGGCACTTTTAAATAAAACGTGTTATTGTTATTATTATTCAATACAATACGGTCCACTCTGTCTTATTCAACAGGTGATATGTAATCATTTTATTGTGTTGTTATAAACATTGAACCACTCTCGGCTTGCAGATTTTTTTTTCTTCGGCCTCTGATGTATTTGAGTTTGACATCCCTGGTCCAGGCAACGTTTCAGGATTGTATTGATTGTGTCCTTACTTTTGGAGAACTTTGGTGGGTTGTCATTGATGTCGGTTAGGGTGACGGTGACGGTGGTGGTCCCGGACAGGCCGCCCATGTGTCCTCCCATATCCTTGGCCTGGATCACCACGAGGTACTCCTCCCTCATCTCCCGGTCCATCTCGTGGAGGGCAATCTTTATGGTCGCTGTGGGGGTGGAAACAGTTCATAACACATTAATGCAATTATAAACATGACTGATAGACTCTGCACAGGCGTTTAACGGCGCGCATGCAAATCCGAGTGCTAGCTGTTCTCCGTAACCTTCACGGACGCCTGACTCTTTATTTTACATTGGTTACAACAAGGACGCCATTTACAATGCAGAGGTAAAGAATGCCCTGCAGATTTCCTTGTGTTTGAGTTCCAAGTTTTATGGAGTGGTGCTGAATAAATCACAGGCGCATAATAAATGTCCCACATCGATTACAATTCTGACTATACTACATCTAAAATCACAGTAAAGGACGGTGAAGCTTGGCAAGTTCACCACGAAGGAAATACTGAACAAGATCAATCTCGAATTAAAATATCCGGCCGTCAGACCGCTTTGCTAACATCAAGCATAATAATAATAACATAATAACATAATAATCTGTTTCATTTAATCTATTGTTTTATTCCATTTTAATTGTTTTTACTGCGTACATAATGTTTTACTTATTCTACTGTTTCTAAACTTCTAAAGCTGGAAAACCTGTATATTTAAATGTTTTACTTTTATCTCTGCAGCACTTTGAATGTTCTAATAAAGTGGAGTGGATTGGGATAATTGATTTTAGGGTAATTGCTATAATTGCTAAAAGATGAATAGTTAGTATGCTTAATGGGCGGCACGGTGGCTCCCGGTTGGACCAGGGCCTTTCTGAGTGGAGTTTGCATGTTCTCCCCGTGTCTGCGTAGGTTTCCTCCGGGTGCTCCGGTTTCCCCTACCACTAAAAATATGTACAATAGGTCTGGCATGTGCCTCCTGTTCTGGCCCCACTCCCAAAAAATAACAATTGTAAACCGCTTTGAGACTCCGATGTGCAGTGAAAAGGCGGTATATAAATAAAGATTACTTACTTACTACTTACTTAATAGTTATTTAGAAGCCTCAAACTCACAATAATTTGTGGAGAAAATATATATTTTTTATACATTGAAGGCAAACATTGATATTAAATCAATGCTTATATATCTAACGTTATGTCAATTTTGTACCATTGGTTCAAGTCAAGGCACATCTAGATGTTTATCTATAATGCACTGCAAAAAGTGGTGAAAAATAAGTACAATATTGGTAGATTTTGACAATGCATCTTAAAATGAGATCTCAATCATTGCCTCATATTTAATCATATTTGCAGTGTGCTTCACGTCATTACCATAACAGTTGAAAGAAAGCAAAAGTAAATAATAAAGTAGAATCATCCAGCGTTGGATAAACTGTACCCACATCCAAACCGGTGACAAAATCATCTGTGTTTGTTTTCTGATGCGCTGTTCCATCGGCCCGAAAGTCATTTGTATTCTGATTGAGTGTGAATTATGCTGTCTGTCTTGTATAATCTTGAATATTGTATGCAGAATGGACCTTATTGACTCTGCCATGGCTCTGCATATCAAAAAGGCTCAGCGGCAGCATATAGGGATAATCCACTCAGGAAACAGAAGCCCGCAGGATCATCAAATGAATATAAAACCGCTCATAAAAGGCAGGCTTTGGCATGACACCCCGCCTTGGTCCTGAGCCGCGGAGACAATGAGAATACCCGGGCTGTGATGTAAAGCATTGGAGAGGGGGGGGGCGGTCCTGCTCTTGTGTTGCTTATTCCGCTGACTTATTTCCATCAGAGATATAGCACAATTTCAGGGTCACTGTGGCGTCCCAATGTCATGGGCTGAACCGGCGATCCGCGCTAATAGACAATACCAAAGCAAACCGAAGGCATGATAGGGAGCCATGGGGAGGCTGCTTTTCAGATTCATGCTGCTAAAATCTGGAACAGTCTTCCTGAAGATGTGAGACAGGCCTCCTCTCTGACAATGTTTAAAACCAGGTTAAAGACAGTTCTGTTCAGCTGTGCTACAACTGAGGGATTTTATATTTTTATCTTTCTTTTACTGTGATTATTTATGATTTAATCTTGTTTTGTTCATCACTTTGAGTTGCCTTGTGCATGAATTGTGCTATACAATTAAACTTGCCCTGCTTTGCCTATTGCAGAGACTGGCAGGTGAACTGTAAACAGCGTTGGAGGAGACTTATCGCCTTTGCAAGCTGGTGTGCCAATGTGAGACTAATTAGCACTTTTTGCTATCCATATTATATTTAATGTAAACATGCTTGTTATTATAATTCAAGAAAATGCACACAAAGTTTGGTGACCATTTTCACAACTGTTGGTTCCCCTTCATACATGTAAAGTATACTGTTTTAATAAGAAAGTTAAAAATGATGCTGAAAAGTTGAAGTAAGATCTATACTAACGGCTCTTGGACTTTCTTATGAATGGTTTTGTGCTTTTTGGACACTCGAGGATCTTTCCAACCTCCATCGCCTTCACCTGCAGTGTCTAGTATGGGTCTGTTGTGTGTGTCTGTGCAAATGTTTTGTATAGACATGGACAAAACAATAAGATATTTAAAGATATTGTATAAGGTAAGCGTCTAACAAATATGCCGTTGACAAAAGATAATAGATTTTATTGATCTCATACAGGAGAAATTTAAGTAAGTAAGAAATCTTTATTCATAGACCGCCTTTCACAGACAGAGTCACAAAACGCTTTACAATTGTGGGCATTAGTCTGTCTCTCCACACAGAGGTGGGAGGGGCCAGTACAGGAGGCGCATGCCAGACCTGTTGTACATGTTTTTTGTGGTAGGGGAAACCGGAGCACCCGGAGGAAACCTACATTTACATGTCACATTTGGCATAGATGATAGTCTTACTTGCAAATAAATTTAAAAATTATTTGAAGTGCGACGTTTCGGCGTTATGCCTTCATCAAGAAAACGATGAAGGCAGAAACAGACCTTTCCTCCGACGCTCCCGATCCGTAGGTATTGATGTGCGAATCCCTACTACTACATTTGGCATAGATAGAATCACTCAGATTTGTGCAAAAGACAGAAGTGTGCAACACGTTAGAGGATCATGTTAGAACAGGGGTCACCAACCTTTTTGAAACCAAGAGCTACTTCTTGGGTACTGATTAATGCAAAGGGCTACCAGTTTGTTACACACTTAAATAAATTGCCAGATATGGCCAATTTACCTTTAATTCTATGTTTTTACTAATAATTAATGATATTTATTTTGTGGAAAAAATTATATTTTCTCTAAGTGCACATTTTTCAAATTTAACAAATGATCACTTCTAAGACAGTCCCATTTAATCGCAATTAATCACATTTTAATCGCATATAAATATTTGACCTGAGAACAGTGAGAAGTAATTTTTTTCACATGGATTTTTAGTTTACCTTTGAATAATGACTGAATACATGATTCATTCAGATTCATTTTATTGGCCATGTGCAGTAAAACTACATTGGAAATACATGCAAAAAGAGGTACTCTGTGTGCACCGACAGAATAAAAAGCACGATACAATGTAATATAAATACACATACACTGAATATAAAATAATAAATAATAAAAAAACAGCTGACACTGTGGCACCGATCGACAAAACAATACAAGGGGTAAAAGCAGTTTAAAAGCAGGTAAAAGCAGGAATTAAAGTGCTCTGTTTAGGCACCTAACAGCCTGTGGAAAGAAGCTGTTAGCATAGCGAGATGTCTTGCATCTCAGTGACCGATATCTTCTGCCAGAGGGAAGAAGCTGGAACATGGCTTTCCCAGGGTGGCCAGAAGAGTCACCGATGATTTTAAGAGCTTTGTTTAAAAGTGTGGATTTATAAAGAACCTCCAGAACAGGAAGCTCACAGCCCACGGTCCTCTTTGCAGAGCGGAGCACCTTGTTTAAAGCTCTCTTTTCTTTATCTGTGATGTTTCCAAACCACACAGACACAGAACCAACAAGTAAACTCTCAATGGTGCAGCCATAAAAGTTAAGCACAATCTTAGAGTTAGTGGTAAATTCTCTAAGTTTCCGCAGGAAGTAAAGACGCTGACGAGCTTTCTTTACGACCCGGTCAGTGTTTTTAGCCCATTTCAGGTTAGACAGAGTTAAGCCCAGGAACTTGCACTCCTCTACGATCTGCACCTGGGAGTTGTCAATAACAACAGGAGTGTGAGAACTGCTATGACTGAAGTCAAAGACAAGTTTACATGTTTTTGCAGTGTTCAGCTGGAGATTGTTTACTTTACTCCACTGAAAAACATGTTCGATCTCTGCTCTATAAGAGGATTCATCAGTGTCACTGATGAGACCGATGATGGTGGTGTCATCAGCATATTTAATGATCAAGTTTGAGTCAGAGGAGGACACACAATCGTGAGTGTACAAAGTAAAAAGCAAAGGACTCAAAATACATCCCTGAGGAGAACCAGTGCTCACAGAAACAACATCAGAAAAACAGTCATTGATTTTCACTCTCTGAGATCTGTCAGTTAAAAAGCTAAAAATCCATTTACACATGGCAACATTCAGACCAAGGGACATTAGTTTTTCAACCAATATGCTTGGGACAAGACAGTTAAAAGCAGAGCTATAATCAATGAACAGCATTCTGGCCACAGATTTACTAGTGTCCAAGTGACTGTAGACAGAGTTCAGAGCAAAGGAGATGCATCCTCCACACTCCTGTTCTGTCTGTAGCAAACTGGAGCGGGTCAACACTCACAGGGATCTGGCTCTTAATAAACTCCAGCACGAGCCGCTCAAAAGTCTTCATAAGAACAGACGTGAGAGCCACAGGGCGGTAGTCATTGAGACATGTCACTGGAGACTTCTTAGGAACTGGAATAATGGTGGACCTTTTAAAGCTCACCGGCACCGTACAGCTCCTGAGTGACAAGTTAAAGATGTCCGTTAAAACAGGGGCAAGTTGCTCGGAGCACAGTTTCAGGACGCGGGGAGGAATGCAGTCTGGGCCTGCGGCTTTCCGAGCTGTGGTCCTGGACAAGACCCGCCTGACTTCATCCTGAGTCACTGTGAAGGCACCCTGACATTCGGGGAAGACAAAAGGCAGGGG